TGAATCCGCGACGGATGTTGAAACGTCAGGCGAATAAACATATTGTCCGAGCGATCGAGTTTTCTTCTTTTCAATCAACATTCATAGCTAGTTGACAGGCCAAGACATTCGATTCGTACATGGACGAAGAGGGTTGAGGATGGGCGACTCTGGGTTATCCATCCATGTGGCAGATTAATGCGTCAATTAGCACCATGCTTATGATATGCATGAATGTACCACAGCTAGGAGGGTTGTACACAGGGGGAGATAGCGCAGCTCTTTCCAGAACTGACAGACGGTCTTAATAACATCCTTTAATTTAATCCTAATGACACTCCCATCCAGCTTGGAGTAGCGTCACCACTTGCTTTTTAGTGTGAACTCGTGGATGTGTGTGGAAGGACAGAACGTGTCTGCCATGTGCAAACCTGCTATTTATTCGGGTCGGCCACCAGCATGCGATCCCGCCTCCGGCATGAAACCGGGCTTAAACGAGTTAGGAAAGAGAAGTTGCGATAGACGCCGCGCAAGTCTACCACCACTTTGAATTTATTCGTGCTAAAATCCTCATCTCTGCGCCAAGCCTGCTCTGGGCCACGCGGTGAACATCGTCAGTGACCATGGGTGAACTGTTAGGCACCTGGGCTAGAGTCATTTTTAGAAATCACCAAGGAAATAAAACCTCCAGCATTCTTTAGTATTGAACCGGAGGTAATAGGGGTTATGCAATTGGGGTAGTACGGGGACGCAGGAGAGGAAATAAAGGAAATATATAAAAAAAACTATGAAATGGTAGAAACAAGTATTATAAAATGCTAATATATAGCACCGACAAAAATTAATTAAAATAAAAAATAAACTAGGATAACTAACAAGCAGATAAGTATTAGTAGTACCATTGCCGATACAATCATGGGGATTTTTCTATCTATAAAGCGAAAGAAAGGCCTTACATGTTTCATCATATATTCCCATCGTATTGAACACTACCAACAATTTTTTGCGTTGTTTCGTCACCAACATCATCTGATCTAGAGCATCTGATCTAGAGCATCACCTCTAGGTCATTTTTAATATTATAAAACTAACTTCTGCCTTCGTGCTTTGTTGCTAATATATGAGTGGTAACTACTCGTCTGTGAGAGAGAAATTCCACCGACATTTTATCGAACAACACGTTATTGTAAGCAAAGAAAATGACAGCATATCATTAAGTAGCTCATCGAAAAGTATGCTTGGGCTAGCTTAGCTTCTCATATATCGCACGTGGGCACAAGCTTGAGGACAGTAGAGGCACCTGTTAGGCAATAAGATGTATAAGTGTAAATAATTTTTATCACAACACTGTATACGAGTGCGTTTATCTGCAAACGTTATATGGGTAATGCAAAATATAATATCACTTTCTAAGTAAAATTGATGCACTTTAGGGTCGTATTTTGTGCTTAACATATGGAAATGAGTATCTGTAGGTCATTGTAAACTGGCCTTGCACGTTTTCATAATGCGCAGATGATCTAGGGGCGTAATCCGCGCGAAGCCCTGGAGATTACTGTAACTGAACATCTGCATATTTTTTTATGATCGGTAGGGATATTGAAATGATAAGCGAGTGTTACAGTACGTGAAAACCGACACTATACAGACATTGGTTGATGAGAGAAATCAGAGAGATGATACTCAATAAATCATATGGAAGATTTTAGTATAGCAGGATTTCTAACCAACGCTGATACAATCATGGGGATTATTCTGTCTATTAACCGAAAGTAAGGCGTTACAATTTTTATCTTAAATGATTGCATGGCACACATGACATTTTATTAGTTTCAGCAAACATGAAGACGTCCGTTAGCAGACTGAAACACGTCCAGTATACCTACAACCTCCGAGGATAATTATTAAAATGCAAATATATGTCGATTTTGCTTCATAGTAGAAGTCAGACACTGGACTTGGCTTCAACTTCCAACAAAAGATATTAGCATATTATTATGACGCACCTGTGTCCATGGCGATGCAAAACGCGAGTCCGTGTGGGTAATATCAAGTTCCTCACAGTTTCACAGAATTCAATAATTCGGACATGCAAAACATCTTGATAGTGATCACTCAGTTGACTTCAAAGCGAAAATTTGAGTATTTTTATCGCAAAACCTGCTCGGATACGGCGTTGGTTGGAAGCCGCCCACATATGGAGAAAGAATGCCTGTCTAGATGAACAGTTAGACTAAGGGGTTATTTTTAACTTGCCTTGAAGATCGTTAGTTCCTTGCAAAACATATTTAAGTAACCCTCTGCTTCGACTTGATCTT